CATGCCAACGAGATTAGCCAAGAAAACGTTGACAAGAAAGCGTCAAACGTATTGGCTTACCTCAGGCCAAATGTTCCCTGAGACTGAGGGATTCCTTGTAGCTATACAGGACCGGGTCATCCCTACCAACAAACAAGAGGTTCATACATAGGAACTTGCAACAGTCTCATAAATGCAGGTACGGCTGTCAGGACCCCGAAACAATACAGCACGTAACTGGTAACGGACTATAAGGAGCGCCACGACATAGCTGCCAAAATCATTCACCAGGAGTTGGCATACAAATTCAAACTGATCGAATGCAAGCTACAGTACTACAAATATACACCGCAATGTGTCCTCGAGAACGACAAGTATAAACTATACTGGGATCGCACTGTGCTTACGGACCAATACATAAAACAAAACAGACCTGACATAACATTGTCGACACAAGGGCGCTCAGGAAGTAACACTGATTGATGTGGCCATACCTAATAGTAACAATTTAACCTACAAACATAATGAGAAAGTTGCAAATAACAGGGAGCTAGAATTTCAAATTAAACGCCAGTGGAAAATGAAGTACGTGGAAACAAATTACAATAATAATGTCATCTACAGGGGTGATACCAAGATGCCTGCTAGAAAACATCAAAGCGCTGGAACTGAGTGAAAACATTTACAAAATCATACAGAAAGGGATTTTTGCTGCAACTGCCCGCATAGTAAGAAAATTTATTTGGGAAATGCAAGTACCTAGTGAGGTCACTATTGAGGCTTACCCCTTTGATGCTTTGAAACGTCCGGGTTAAGCCAGAACACCCGATTAACGGGAGTAACAAAGCCCTACGCTATAAAAATAATAAGAATAATAATAATAATAACTATAACAATCATAAATAGTAATAATAATTATAAATAATAATAATAATAATAATAAATAGTAGAATAAGAGTTACGAATAATACTATAGTTATAATTAATAATATCATAATTATATATTATAATTATTAATAATAATAATATAGAATAATAATAATAATAATGATTATAATAATAATAATAGTGTTGTGTAATAATAATAATAATCATTATAGTAATCCTCATCATCAATTTAATAATTAATCTTTATAATAATAATAATAAATACTAACTAATCTCATTTGTCTTAAGGGTCACTAAGACAAATAAACACCTCCGCAAAATAGACGGAACAACCATAAATAATGAAAATACGCATCGCCAATCACCTTGCAGACCATTTTGCTAACATCAGCAGCTCCTCCAACTATAATCAGACTTTAGAGCCCAGAAAATGCAACGAGGAGAAGATACATATAGATTTTTCAGAAATAATTGTCTCAATTATAATGTTTCCTTTGAAATGCATGAATATGTCTCCAGATCGCTCCAGGTCCAGATAAGATTAATTATGAAATGATCGACATCTACCACAGAATTGAAAGTAATCCTGCTGAACATCTACAATGAGATATGGGTAAATGGTGTATATCCTAGATGTTGGAAACTTGCCACAATGTACCAATTTTGAAAGATGGTAAGGATCCCCTGGTGGCTTCCAGTTATAGACCTATAAGCTAACCTGCTGTCTGGTTAAGATACTGAAAGAATGATTTGTGAACGTTGAATGTGGATTTTGGAAAATGATGAACTGCTTGTAGGACACCAAGCAGGATTCAGGAGGGTTTAGATCCACATTGGACCAACTAGTCTACGTTGAGGACTTGATAGAAAATGGCTTCAAAAACAGACAGCATACTGTGCTGTAATGTTTGATGTAGAAAAGCCTATGATATGACGTGGAGATATGATATCCTCAAACAGTTACATCGCTGGGAATTAGAGGAAATCTACCAATACTTATATCATCATTTTTGACAGATCGTCTCCTCCAAGTACGAATAGGAATACCTTTTCCACAACACGCATCATGGAAAATGGTATCCCACAGGGATCAACCCTCAGCTGCATTCTTTTTGCGATAGCAATAAACTCCATCACTGAGAATGTCATCCTGCTATAAACCAATGCTTATATGTTGATGACTTATGCATTTTAACTTCAAGAAAAACTGTTGGTGAAACTACTCGACTTCTACAACCTGCTATTGATACCATCTTTCAGAATGCTAAGAACAAAGGATTGACCCTATCACGGATAAAAACACGATGTATCCATTTCTGTAGGCTTAGACGACCACACTATGATCCACGCCTCTGTCTCAACAATGAACGCATACCCGTGTGTCTTCTGTAAAATTCCTAGGCCTAACACTCGACAGTAAACTGACATGGAGAGATCTTACCAACAGGTGCAAGAGAGCCCTGAACCTAATAAAATGCCTGTCGTCAACACGATTCGGAGCAGAAGCTGAGATGCTGTTGCGGATATACAAGACCATCATTCTATCTAAGCTTGACTACGGTAGTATTGTTTACTCATCTGCAAGACCGTCACTGCTTAAAAAACTTGATACAGTTCACAACCAAGGATTACGTCTCTGCCTTGGAGCATTTCGTACAACTCCAGCAGCTAGCCTCTATTGCGAATCCGGAGTTGAACCTCTATCCATTAGACGTAAAAAACTTGCACTATCGTATTCTGCACAGATTCAAACACGACCATTCCATAGAAACTTTTCTATCATTTTCAGTACGAATGAGAGCTACATCTGTCGCCCCACAATAACAAGACCTCTCAGAGTCCGAGTTAAAGAATATGCCGAGGAAATTGGTATATCATGTAACCCTATCTACGTATATAATGTTAAACACAGAGAATCTCCTCCATGGCTGTCACCCAAAATAAATGTGAATCTCGAGCTGACTGCACTATCTAAGAATGACCATCCATCTGAACTCATAAAATCACGTTTTATGGAAATCGTTTCTAGATATCCGGCAGCAACAGTTATCTATACAGATGGATCGCGAACTGACGGTGGTGTCGGCTGTGCTATAGTAGTCGATCAAACTGCTCATCAATGGACACTATCACCAATAGCATCCATATTTACTGCTGAACAATATGCTATTTGGCAGGCCCTACGATACTGTGACATGTCGAATAACATAACAACAGCTATTATAGCTAGTGACTCGCTCTCAGCACTTCAAGGCCTAATGAACTATGCATCTCGAGATTCCTTAACTGTGATGTGCCTTGAAACTGTCAAACATCTCTTAAATAAAGGGGTAAACGTAAAATTTCTGTGGTTGCCAGGACACGTTGGTATACAGGGGAATGAAGCTGCTGATATGGCAGCGAAAGCAGCAGCGCAACAAAACATCGACATCCCTGAAATAAAAATGTCTGATCATAAAAACTACCTCATAAACCGTATACAGCGACACTGCAAATTACATGGGGTAACACTGATACCCACTTAAGACAGATAAAACCTAGTGTAGGATTATGGCCACATCCTATCAGATTGCCACGAGAGGAATGGGTGCGCATACATCGCTTACGCTTTGGCCACACACGTCTTACACATGCACATCTTTTGCTCGGAACAGATCCGCCCTTGTGCACTGGATGTAACTCTTCACTCACTGTACGCCACATTATCTGCGCATGTCCGATATTGTCCAATATCGAGTGATCTATGGACCATTTGATAACCTGACAGAGAATCTCACACAACCAGAAAAACTGAAAAACGTCATATCATTCTTAAAGTATCTGGTTTCTATTGGAAGATCTGACCTAATGAACTTTTGGAAATGAACCATTTTAATTTTTGTGTATCTTATTCTCAACTGAGATTAATGAATGTTATGTAACGATGATTTTGCATCATACCTACCTTAGCTTAGTATTGTCATCTTGAACTAAAAGAAATATGTAACAATAGAATTTGGATAAATCGAAATACTTGAACGCAAACAAGATCGTGAAATGCAGATAATGACCACAAAAAAAAAATATTAATATTAATGAATATATGCCTGACAAATTTAGTCGTGTAACATTTCCCAGAGATAAATGACAATAGTATATCCTTTCGATTAATATCTGGAATTTGCGTAGTTAGTTTTTTTAAAAATGCGACACTTACCACTTAGACATGTAAGAGATTATATTTTATACTTTAGATTTACATAGTATATTTATATATTATTGAATACGGCTAATAACCAGAGAAGTTGACGCCGTCAAAAAAAAATAAAATTAATAATCATAATAATAATAATTAGAACAATCATAATAATAATAACAATAATAATAATATTATTAATCATAATAATAAGTATAATAATAATAACAATAATAATAATAATAATAATACTAATGATAATAATAATAATAATTATAACAGTCATAATAATAATAATAATAATAATAACAATAATTATAATAATAATAATAATAATAATAATAAATAATAATAATAATAATAATAATAATAATTATAATAATAATAATCATAATAATATAAGAATAATAACTTATCCTACATAATGATAATAATAATAATAATATAATAATATAATAACAAAATATATATAATAATCTATTAAATCGAATAATAATAATAATAATATAATAATAATAACAATAATAATTAGAATAATCATCATAATAATAATAATAATAATTAATAATTAAATATAATAATATAATAATAATAATCATAGTAATACTAATACTATTAATAATAATAATACTAAAATAATCATAATAATAATAATAATTATAACAATCATAATAATCATAATTCTAATAATCTAATCATAATACCACTAATAATAATTCTTAATAATAATAAAATAAAATAGTTATAATCATACTCATAATTATAATAGTAATAATGTGGCCGTTAGGACACTGTTGCCCGCAAGTGTCAAACCCGCCAGCGATCCCTCCAGTGTGTGCCAGGGGTTTTTGTGTCTCTTCCTCCTGGTGCAGGAAAACATATCATGTGCAGAATGTGTACATATCGGCTCCTAGATGGAGTCGTATAAAAAGAACCACACCCATAATTTCTTTATGAGATGAATTTTGAATATAGCCTCGGAAAAAGGTCGCTGCCTGAGGGTGATCGTCAGGGCATATCTGGAGCCGGCGCTGGATATGACAGCATGCGGGACGTCGGTGGCAGGGTGCTGAGGAGGCGGGCCCCTGTCGTCCAAGAAGCAACAGCCCCCCAACAAAGTGGTAGCCAAACAACAACTAGTGCCACCGCTGCCGAAAGTGCTGCACAGGAATCTCAGCCAGTGCTCACTCAAGCAGGTCTCCCTAGAAGACGTATAAAGTGGACGGTGTCCATGAATGAGTCAATCATGCGAATCTTCTACAAAGTTACCAACCTAGGTAGAGAAACAATCGGCTACAGACCACGACTTCATACCGCTTTCTGTAGTGAATATCCGGAGATCAAAGTATCTCAGCAGAGAGTGGCAGACCAATATCGAGTGATAATCAAAAATAATCTTATCCCACAACCACGGCTGAATGCCATCAAACAGGAAGTGCAGCTTGATCTTATGCAACAAGAAGGGAGTAATAACGAAATACGCGATAATGGTCAATCTGAGCAAGAACAGATAGAAAGTGAACAGCCTGGAGTTGACGACAGTAATGATCAAGACACAGAAATATTTGGTATATTAATAACTGAAATGGGTAGAGCATATGCCGAATTTGATGGAACGAACCCGCTAGAAAGACCACCATTACCAAAGTTGAAGTCATCTAGAAAGCTTGCTGTGGTATTGTGTCAGTTAAATAAACAGATCCTGCCAGAGTATCTAGCACACTCCAACTGTATAGAACAACTTCACACACTGATGTACTGTGCAGCTGTTGCAACAGTAAGAACACTTGGTGTCAAAATGCCAACTCAAAAGATTACTGAAAATTCAGTAAAACCAATAACACCAAAATGGGAAAAACGTCTGGAAAGAAGAACGGCAGAAATTCGCAGAGATATCGGACGTCTTACCCAATTCACACGAGGAATAACAACTCGAAAAGTCCGAAAGCAAGCTATGGAAATAATGCAACGACTCCACCATCATTCTCACCAAGACGCAACTAACATCAACGAGTGGCAATGCCTTGATACCTTGAAGCAAAAACTGTCCGTATATACTCAGCGATTGAAAAGGTATAAAGCGTCCAGTCACAGAAAGCACGACAATGCGCTCTTTCAACGATCCGAAAAGGCATTCTACAGGAAACTGTCATCCGAACCCCAGGAAAAGAGCAAAACGGTGCCCACAAAGGACCAAGTAGAGGAATTTTGGGGCAAGCAGTTTGGCTCGACAGCTTATTACAACAAGTGTGCAGGATGGATTACAGATGAAGAAGCGAAGAGCCATTATTGCAATCCCATGCAGTATAGGGCATATACCAAACAAGAAATCGTGGATATCGTTAAGCAGTTGCATAATTGGAAGGCCCCGGGCCCAGACCAGATTCATGGCTACTGGATAAAGAAGCTTTGGTGCATGCATGAACAACTAACAAGATATATCAATGACATGCTTTTGAATCCAAATAAGACTCCAACGTTCCTAACACAAGGGCTAACGGTATTAATACCAAAAGATCACAATAATACAGAAGACCCAGCAAAATACCGCCCAATTACCTGCCTTCCTACGCTATACAAGGTGGTCACTGCTTGTATATCGAAGCGAATTTATGCTCATTGTGAAGAAAACGATATTATTGCGCCACAACAAAAAGGCTGTGCTAAGGGAGCTATGGGATGCAAAGAACAGCTGGCTATCGACTCAGTCATCTGTAACCAAGCCTATACCAACAAAAGGAACCTATACATTACGTACATCGACTATCAGAAGGCATACGATTCTGTACCTCATGAGTGGCTTGTCAGGGTGCTGAGGCTCTATAAGGTAGATGAGCATGTAGTGGCCCTATTAGAACATATGCTGAAGACCTGGAGAACCAGAATAACACTGCATACAAACGGGACCAGCACCATTCAAACTGAGACGATCTCTATCCGAAGAGGTCTCTTTCAGGGTGATTCATTAAGTCCCCTATGGTTTTGCCTAGCTATAAATCCCCTCTCAAACCTCTTAAATGCAACAGGGTATGGATATAGTCTGAAAGATAACAGGAACGCATCCATAAAACTGAACCACTTGCTGTATATGGACGACCTAAAGGTAATAGCTGCTACTGAGAATCAAATGAAACAGCTGCTAGAGATAGTCGGTCAGTTCTCAGATGACATAAGTATGCGATTTGGGATGGATAAATGCAAAACCTTATCTATACGTAGGGGGAACATCTACCCTGGAGGATTTTCAAGCTGCAGAGGCCAAAACATTGACGCAATGGACGCAAATGACACATACAAATACCTTGGAATGGCGCAGGCCCGAAGGATAGACCATAAAAAAATGAAGGAAGCTATATCGCAGACCTTCACAAAAAGAATACGGCTACTTCTGAAAACAGAACTCAATAGTAAGAATCTAGTCAAGGCGATTAACACCTACGCATGCTCTGCCTTGAACTACTCGTTCGGTATAGTTCTGTGGAGTAAAACTGACATCGAGAAACTAGAGAGGCGGGTAAGGACTATGCTAACAAAAAAAGGAGCGCACCATCCTCGCAGTGCAATAGAGCGCACAACCTTACCCCGACAGTTAGGAGGAAGAGGTCTAATGGACATCAGCAAGCAGCTAGCTCAACAGGTACTCGCCTTGCGATCCTACTTCTTTGAGAAGGCCGAGATCTCTGAGCTGCATCGCATCATATGCTCAATAGATGACACAACGCCCTTACACCTTAGTAGACGAGATGACCAACCGAGTCACCAAACCAACGAACAGAAGCTACAACGATGGATTGAAAAACCTCTACATGGGAGACATGCCAACGAGATTAGCCAAGAAAACGTTGACAAGAAAGCGTCAAACTATTGGCTTACCTCAGGCCAAATGTTCCCTGAGACTGAGGGATTCCTTGTAGCTATACAGGACCAGGTCATTCCTACCAACAATTACAAGAGGTTCATACTTAAGAACTTGCAACAGTCTGATAAATGCAGGTACGGCTGTCAGGACTCCGAAACAATACAGCACGTAACTGGTGGATGCCAAGCATTCGCTCCAACGGACTATAAGGAGCGCCACGACATAGCTGCCAAAATCATTCACCAGGAGTTGGCATACAAATTCAAACTGATCGAATGCAAGCTACAGTACTACAAATATACACCGCAATGTGTCCTCGAGAACGACAAGTATAAACTATACTGGGATCGCACTGTGCTTACGGACCAATACATAAAACAAAACAGACCTGACATAATCATTGTCGACAAGGACGCCCAGAAAGTAACACTGATTGATGTGGCCATACCTAATAGTAACAATTTAACATACAAACATAATGAGAAAGTTGCAAAATACAGGGAGCTAGAATTTCAAATTAAACGCCAGTGGAAAATGAAGTACGTGGAAACAATACCAATAATAATGTCATCTACAGGGGTGATACCAAGAAGGCTGCTAGAAAACATCAAAGCGTTGGAACTGAGTGAAAACATTTACAAAATCATACAGAAAGGAGTTTTGCTGGCAACTGCCCGCATAGTAAGAAAATTTATGGGAAATGCAAGTACCTAGGGAGGTCACTATTGAGGCTTACCCCTTTGATGCTTGAAGCGTCCGGGTTAAGCCAGAACACCCCGATTAACGGGAGTAACAAAGCCCTACGGCTATTTAAAAATAATAATAGTAATAATAATAATAATAATAATAATAATAATAATAATTATACCATACCATACCATACCATTTATTGACAACCTATACATATAGATACATGTTTGAGGTCACAAACTAGATAAAGTTTATACAGAGTCTGTCATCTTGCTCTACACACGATCACTGATCACTAGGATCGCATGCACTTAAATATTCACTTACAGTATAGAAGCAGTTTTTCAACAAATAGTTTTTGACAAACCTAGAGAACTGTTTGTTAGACATCTTCTCAATATTGGACCGCTTATGATATCTAACAAAGTTATTGTAAAGCGACACATTAATCTTTTTGTGTTGTCATGGCGATCCTGGATTGCGGTAATGATATATCATTAGCGTATCTTGTATTATAGCTGTGTGTCTCTGATCTTATCGAAAAAGTACTCAGGTTTGCGTGAACATGTAAAAGGGTCTCATGTAAATTAAGAATGTGCAAACAACGAACGACTTTTCAAAAAAGCGACTTTATTTAACAGAAGACGAATGAATACTGGTCACCTTGGTTTACATGCATCTCCTACTTATAACCTACGCTAGAACAAAGGAATCGAAAAGTGCAAACCTAAGCAACTCTACATATTAGATCATCGTCATAGCAGTGCCGTAATTCCTCCCTCTTCAGGAAGATTGAACCTCCGGGTTCAAAGGAAAAATCTGGTTAAGTTCAATGTCATTTTTGACTGGTTGATTTTTGGGTTCTTTTTGAACGTGGACGTTTTGTGTGAAAAATCTATTTTTTTTAATTTATCGTGTAAAATAAAACATTATTCAATTGTATATCCGAATAACCCTTTACATCAGTATTTTCAAATAACATATTCTTATCATAGTTCACCATAATGTTAGGTATGTATAAAGGTTTCGAAATATCAGAAATCTTCAAATACTCAGCATGATCAATAAATGTTTTACAGTTTAAGCTGATAATAAAAGAGGAATCAATTTCTTTTCTTTCTTTGGTACAATCTTCATATACTGGAATATTCTTGTTAGTATTCACTAAATAGTTATCATGTGTTAATTGAATTACTTCTGAAAATGAACCTTTTGCCAAGAATGTACAATTTTCAACTTTAAGTAACTTACAACTGGAATGGATTAGTATAGTACAGTAAAAATATTTATTACTCAATAATTTGCATTCATCACAAAAATGTATAGTTTCATTTTCGATAATATTTTTATGTTTCAATACCAGAATATTATTTTGGTGTATAATGGGGTATATATTGGAATATATAAAGTTACCAGTAACTGTTGTTATGTGAAAAACAAATATGATTTCTTCTTCGACGACTATAATACTTAATTCACATAATTCGAAAAATTCAAAATTGTGCAGTTTATCGAGTGGGAGAAGTTCATTCTTGTCAAATAGATCACTTAATAACGAATGGATATAATTAATTTCAGTCTTACTCAGCTGTAAGAGATTTATGCCCTGATTTGTGCTCAGGTTAGTGGTTAACAGTAAGTGTGATAAATAATTAGAAAATCTTTGAATAATTATTATCTCATTCAAGACATACTGAGAATTAGCGTGTTCGCTATGCAATTTGTTGAGGTTATCCAAATTATCTCTCAAATTTTTCTTTATAATTAAAGTGTTATCTTCAAACCTGTCTTGTAATTGTTTTGCTACAGAGACGGTTCGGGAATTTTGTAATGATAAATTATCTTGATTTTCCTTCAGAATTTTCATATTTTCCATTATTTCATCTAGATCAGATTGATCTAAATTGCCTGAAATATATTTTATGACGGAACCAAGACCATTAAATAATCCACGCTTAACTCGTTTAAATTTTAACATTTCATATTTGTCTAAAAGCAAATTGTATTCATGTTCAAGTTGTGTCATCAACGTATCATCGATTCTTTGTTTTGCAAAATAGACATTTGACGTTATTTGCTTGATATTTTCATTAATGAGAGTGAGATTTATATGAAAAAATGTCTTATGGTATGCTTTTAGTAGATAGGCGTTACCTAGCTCTTGCTTAAAATATGGTGCTTTATTCTCGATCAGCTGGATCTCTAGGCCGGCTAGTTGAAGGGCCTGGATTAGGATCCTGAAAGTTAGAAATTTTGCATTGCGGTTTCACTCTATTGAGTCTATGCTTTTTTCCTTCAGTGCGCAAATTAATATGGACATTTTCTTGTTCGTAAGAGGTCTCTTTAGAATACAGGGCTTTTGTTTTATGTAAACGATCTAATGCAGATTTAAGATATACTGGACCTTCTATGGTTGGAATTTCCTTATTTCGATTTTGATAAATTTTTTCTAGTCTTTCCGTTGCCTTATCTAGTACACGGTTCGATAGTTCTTCATAAAAAGGTAGTAATTCTCTGTACCGTTTCTCGTTATATTCATCATATAATTTTGTGGGGGTATCGATCAAATGCTTATTCAAATCGTCGTAAGGACCGTATAATAATGAAAATGGGGTATATGTGGTCGTAGAATGGACACTTTGGTTATAAATTAAGATGGCTGTCGTCATTAGATCAATAATCGAATCGATTTTATTTTGCTGACGTAAAATTTTGAGTTTTTCTTTCAAGGTACTATGAAATCTTTCAAGAGGTGATAATGATGAGGGGTTACCTACACTACTAACATGACATTCAATTTTGTGCATATTACAGAATTCTTTTATAACGTTTGTGTTAAGTTCACCAGGATCAAAAGTTATTTTGTCAGGATAATTGTGATGGGAAAAGAAGTGTCTGATTTTGTTTAATATTTCGTTAGATAATTTTGATTTTAAATTGTAGACCTGGGCATATTTACTAAATAAATCAACAAATGTTAAAAATATTTGTTGTTCGACTTGAAAAATATCTAAAAATATATGTTCAAATGGTCTTTTGGCTATTAGAGGTCCTTCCATAGGGAGTTCGATTGGTCGTCTTTCATATTTTGATGTCAAACAAGTATTGCACTGATTAATGTAATTTGATATTATTTTTTTCATATTTGGAGTGAATGCTTTTTTCTTGAAATGGCTGTAAGTTTCATTGATACCATTATGCGTTTGGCTATGATAGAAAGACAATTGTTCTGTAAATGAATCTTTTAGTAGGTATATAGGGTTATAAGAAGCTTTAACAAATCTTATACCGCTGTTCGAAAAATACTGTTCCAGAAGTTCGTTAAGTTTAAATTCTAAAAGTTGATTTTCATACCAAATACCATAAGTATGATCGGGCTGAAGATATTCCTTCATAAATTTCAAAAGTTGCTCAGTTTCAGATCCACTTCGGACTGTTACCATTAAAGTTCCATTGCAAGACTTTGTTATTTTGTACTGATTTTTTAACTGAAAATGTATTCGATTTTTGAAAAAATAAAAATTCTTTTCTTGATACAATATATGATTGATAGGATTTTGTGCAGATGAATGTCGAGTAACATCAGATTGCTCAACAATTTTGAGTCGTTCATCTAACGGCATTTCATCTAATAAATCAAATAAAGGTAAATTATCTTCATTCAAGATTTCATCAAGTTCTTGGGTTGTTAATTCTTCTACAGATTCTACTTGTGGTAAAATGGATAAAAGATCGTCATCCTCTAAAGCGTTAATTTCAATTCTACTAAGTGCATCAGCTACAAGATTGTCTTTGCCTTTTTTATATTTAATTGAAAAATTATATTCTTCTAACTGAAGCTTCCATCTAATCAATCGCAGATTGGGCACTGATAAAGAACTCAACCAAACTAGGGGCTTGTGATCACATTCGATTAGAAAATTTTGAACAAATAAATAAGGACGGAATTTTTTACAAGAATCAACTATTGCCAATAGTTCTTTTTCAATAACGCTGTAATTGCGTTCAGCAGAATTTAATGTCCTAGAGTGGAAAGCAATAGGCTTATCATTTTGACTAAGAACTCCTGATAGGGCTATATTGCTACACTCAGTTGTCAATGTAAATTTTTTGGAAAAATCAGGATAAGCCAGAATAGGTGGGTTACAAAGAGCTTCTTTACAAAGTTTAAATGCATTGATATAATCTGGATTATTGATATTGATTTTTTCATCTTTACGTAAACATTTTGTGAATGGCTTAGTCAATTGTGCAAATCCTTTAATAAATTTACGATAATAGTTCATAAGGCCTAAAAATGACTGGATTTCTTTAATCGTAGTCGGGAGAGAATATTCTTGAATTACTTTGATTTTATCTGGGTTTGGAAGTATGCCTTGTGGCGTGATGACATGACCTAAGAATGGAACATCTTTTCTCAGGAACTCAGATTTGTCCAGTTGGATTTTTAAATTAAACTGATTCAGTTTTTGGAATATTTTTCGAAGATGCAAAATGTGTTCGTCTAGGGATTTTGAAAAAACAATGATATCTTCCATATAGACAAAACAAAAAACGTTGATATAGTCTAACAATACAGTATTCATCATACGTTGAAAGGTAGCAGGGGCATTTTTTAACCGAAATGGCATACGGACATATTCATAGTGGCCATTTTCAACAGTAAAAGCCGTTTTTTCTATAGACTGAGGATCCATAGGGATCTGGTGGAACCCTTGTGCCAAATCAATAGTAGAAAAATACATGCTTTTGCCTAAATTTTCCAAAATTTCTTCAATTAGTGGGAGTGGAAATTTATCTTCAATTGTTATTTCATTCAGTTTTCTTAAATCAATAACCATCCTATATT